CTCTCACTTAGGAACCGCCGCGGCATACAGGCACTCTCGGTGAGAAAGGAGGAGAGACAATAGTTGGAGAACAGGCAAAGGACTGCGATGGAGAGCCCTCTCCCTCCCCCTATTTAAGGAAGAAACGTGGCAGTCGAAGAAGGGCAAAAAATCATAGCAAAAAAACTCTCCCCTTCCCCCATTTAATGCGGATGGGAAACGGCGGGACACGCCCTGACCGAAGGGACGTGCACTGACCGACGGAACGACGCCGGGTCAGACGGAACATCGCCTGGCAAGACAAATGTGGCCTGGGCATGGCCCACCACTATTGCACGACCACACGCGAAAACCAAAGCGTCACCACACGCAGGTAGCTCTCCGCATCCCCAGGTGGGACTTGGAAAAACCCAAAACAGGATCTACGCCGGGAGAGACCATTGGGCTTCCCAAGTCGATTGAACGGCTTAGAAAGACACACCGAGACACAGGTAGGAAGCGAAGGGACACCCCATGTAGGCCATGCCGACTCCGTCACGAACGACGAGCACGGGTCTCGGTCGGACATTTCTGACTAAAGCTCTCCGAACCCCATCACTCAAGTCATCAAGGTGAACACTACCAACCCCCTCTATTTCTTTATAATCATTTCATACATCCATACACGCATTCATTCCATACGCCCGCGCCTCTCAGATGATTCGGGCCGTGAACCGCCCGGGGGCTTGGGAACTAAGCATCACATGTGCAGTGAAATGCATCACAACGCTCCGTGTTGCATCACGAAGCGGCGGTTGCCTCATTCGATATGAGCAACCAACAGAGCCAGGGGAGAAAAACATAGATGAGCCCCATGCGGCCCTCACCCAGTTTGGCAAACCGAGTCATCTCAACCTTCTCATTCGATCCTGAACCTCTTGCCAAGCCTACAGAATCTCCATCGAGGAGAGGCCGTTAGGCCACCCGGGTCGGTCTCCGGAACGACCCAAGCATCTGCTGGGTTGTAGGTAAAGGAGCACTGGAATGTCACAAGAGGGCTATGCCGACCCTATCATGAACGACGGACCCGGATTCCGCTCGATCATACCCGTTAGCGAACTCACCGAGCGTGTCACTCTAACCCGAGCGATCGGGACAAGCAACAAAACTCAGCCCCTCCGGTTGTGAGGAACCGAGGATAGGGTAACGCACACAACTCACACCGACCCCTACTAAGGCCCAACGAGGCTAGGGGGCTCAAAGACACAAAAAGCCTAGGTCTGTGACCCATAACTCGCCCCTTCCGACTGCGCTCCAAACACTTGGGTCTGCGACCCCAATCTCGCCCCATCCGGCTACGCTTCGACTGCGCTCCAAAACACCTGGGTCTATGACCCTAATCTCGCCCCATCCGGCTACGCTCCGACTGCGCTCCAAAAACTACCTAGGGTCTGCGACCCCGATCTCACCCCCTTAGGATCCGCGAGCACCGCCTTATCGCCACGCCTGATCCGAAACTAAGTAGACTAACTGCCTCACCCGATCCCACCGCGCGCATTGACGCTAGGATCCACAAGCTCCATCTCACCTAATCTCTCAAGTGACTAAACGCCATGGCTGCGCAACGACGCCTTGGTTGACAAAACTCCATCCCAACTAAAAACGTGCACACACGCCCGCTTTCGAACACCCCCCAGATGGTTCTGCCCGAACCGCCCGGGGGCTCAGGGGCTACAGTCGCGGGTGCACTCGCGCGCACCCGCCGGCAAGACAAAAATCCCCTGGACGATTCTGCCCGAATCGCTTGAGGGCTCGAGGGGCTCCTGTCGGGTTCATAAACCCGGGGTCCCTCGGGGACCAGCTTCCACGTCGAGGCTCGGCCTAAGCAGACAGCGCGTAACTCATGGGCCGGCCCAAGAGTCTAAAAACAACAGGCCGTAAGGGCGGTCCAGTCATCGACCGGAAGGTCTGGCCGAAGAGGAACAACGCCCGCTCGTCGACTGCTTCGGCCCACCTCTCCGACCGGAGTGCTCGCTTCGGACTCCAGCCACCTCCGGACGGCCTCTCCGATCGGAAGGCCTGGCCCAAGCACTACTGCTGACTACGACTCCGCTTTTCTGACCGGGGTACATAGGAACCTTGCTCACCGCTCTACTCCGACTGGAGCGACCATAGCCGACTGGAGCCATCTGACCGGGGACGCTCGCTCGAAAAGGACCAGGAGACGTGCGGAAAAAAGTAAGGCAAAGCTCACAAGTCAAACCACGATACCGGGACCATACCCTGCACAGAACAGTTCTCCGCAACCACCCTAACACAAACAGTATTATGGGCGTCGATGTTTCCCTCTATAGTATTGTGGGCGCCATTAACTCCCTTACGGTAAGGCCCCCACATCCCTCTGGGCATCGATACTATTGTGGGCGCTGGGATTTACCATACCAGGTGAACGTGGTGAAACTCCTCACATGCCTCTAGGCATCACACAGTATTTGCAGGTACCAACATCTGCCATTCCTGAAGAAGGCAACACAACCTCCCACATGCATCTGACATTCTACAGTAACATCAACAATGTTGTGGGCGCCTACCATTATCTTGTACCCACCGGCATGGGCAACAAAACTCAATAGCATACGTACCCTCACTCTCTCACTTGTAAAGCCATCCCCTTTATCTATAAAAGGGGATGCGCTCCCTCCAACGAGAGAGAGAGCCTTTTTAGTTAGAAAACATCGATCAAGTTCACTAGCTCACTACCACAGAACCGCCGGGTTCGGACCTCAAGCACACGCATGAACACTTAGCTCATAGCGTAGTTCCTGTCGCTCTCGGCCCTTCCGACTAGAGCCAACCAGACCTCTTGTAAACCCCATCTTTCTCCTTCTCGTTTGTAACCCCACTGCAAACTTCGAGCATCTAGGCTTAGGAATAAAGTCACTGACCGACCCAAATTGGACGTAGGGCACGTTGTCTGAACCAGTATAAACCCTGTGTCATTGAGTGCTAGGCCACCTCCGATCATAACGTACGGCAAAATTACAAATATTTACTAGTTGGTCACTTTCTGTACCGACTGATGGGGCGAGATTGGGGTCGCAGACCCTAGGTAGTTTTTAGAGCGCAGTCGGAGCGTAGCCGGATGGGGCGAGATCGGGGTCGTAGACCCAGGTGTTTTTGGAGCGCAGTCGGAAGGGGCGAGTTCGGGGTCGCAGACCCAGGCTTTTTGTGTCTTGAGCCCTCGAGCCTTGTTGGGCCTTAGTTGGGGTCGGTGTGAGTTTGTGTGCGTTACCCCAATCCTTGGTTCCTTACAACCGGGGGGGCTGAGTTTTGTCGCTTGTCCCAATCGCTCGGGTTCGAGTGACGCGTTTGGTGAGTTCGCTAACGGGTATCCCCCAGACGGTTCTGCCCGAACTGCCCGGGGGCTCGGGGGCTACACCCGCAGGTGCGCTCGCGCGCACCCGCCGACGAAACGGAAAACCTCCCCCACTAACAACATAAAAACCCCTAGACAGTTCTGCCCGAACCGCCCGGGGGCTCGGGTGCTACACCCGCCGGCAAGACAAAAATCCCCGAACGATCCTGCCCGAATCGCCCTGGGGCTCGAGGGCTCCTGTCGGGTTCATAAACCCGGGGTCCCTCGGGGACCAGCTTCCACGCCAAGGCTCGGCCCAAGCAGATAGCACGTAACTCATGGGCCGACCCAAGAGTCTAAAACAACAGGCCAAAAGAGCGGTCCAGTCACAGATCGGAAGGTCTGGCCAAAGAGGAACAGCGCCCGCTCGTCGACTACTTCAGCCCACCTCTCCAACCGGAGCGCTCGCTTCGGACTCCAGCCGCCTCCGAATGGCCTCTCCGACCAGAAGGCTTGGCCCAAGCACAACTTCTGACTCCGACCCCGCATCTCCAACCGGGGTTCGTAGAAACCCTACTCACCGCTGTTCTCCAACTGGCGCAACCAGAGCCGACTGGGGCCACCCAACCGGGGACGCCCGCTCGGAAAGGATCAGGAGACGTGCGGAGAAAAGCAAGGCAAGGCTCACAAGTCAAACCACGATACCAGGACCATACCCTGCACGGAACAGTACTCCGCAACCGCCCTGACACAAACAGTATTGTGGGCGCCGACGTTTTCCTCTACAGTATTGTGGGCGCCATTAACTCCCTTACGGTAAGGCCCCCCACACGCCTCTAGGCATCGATAGTATTGTGGGCGCTAGGATTTACCATACCAGATGAACGTGGTAAAACTCATCACATGCCTCTAGGCATCAAACAGTATTTGCAGGTACCGACATCTGCCATTACTGAAGAAGACAACGCAATCTCTCACATGCATCTGGCATTTTACAGTGACATCAATAGTGTTGTGGGAGCCTATCATTATCTTATACCTGTCGACATGGGCAACAAAGCTCAGTAGCATACGTACCATCACTCTCTCACTTATAAAGTCATCCCCTTTATCTATAAAAGGGAATGTGCTTCCTCCAACGAGAGAGAGCCTTTTTAGTCCGAAAACATCGATCAAGTTCACTAACTCACAACCACATAATCGTCGGGTTTGGACCTCGAGCACACGCTTGAACACTTAGCTCATAGCGTAGCTCCTGTCGCTCTCGGCCCTTCCGATCAGAGCCGACCGGACCTCTTGTACATCCCATCTTTTTTCTTCTCATTTGTAACCCCACTGCAAATTTCGAACACCTAGGCTCAGAAATAAAATCACTGGCCAACCAATAAAATCACGGACCAACCTAAACTGGACGTTAGCTGATAAGCCGGCGAATAACTTCGGCTATGTTCGGTAGGATTGAAAAATACTGTTCCGGTTTGATGGTTGTGAGAGAAAAAAAAACTGTCTGATTTCATGAGTGACGGAGCCAGCCGGCGACCAGCCAGCCGAACGGCCTCGAATTCATGCGAACAGGCCCTAGTGGCGGGTCCCGCACTCCACTCCACTCCACTGCAGTGAGCAGTGACTCTCCACTCTGCCAACCTTCAGTCCCGTCCCGTCGCCGCCCCGGCTGCCGCCCGTTTCCATGGAGATGGAGGGGAGCGGGGGCAGCCAGAGCCAGCTGACCCAACCCGCCGTGGACGTCAACGAGGCAGCCCTGGGCGTCACCAAGAGAGAGCGCAAGAGAAGCAGGTACCTCTCCCCTCCCTACACCGACACAGGTGTCCAAGAAAAGAAGGCCGCCGGCAGCCGGCAGCAGCGAGAGGAGGAGGAGGAGGAGGAGGGGCCGCCCCATGTCTCCGCCTCGGAGGTGCTCTCTGCTCTCCGAGCCGCCGCGCTCGGGCAGGGGGAGGGGATGGATGCAGCGGCCCGTTTTCTGGCCATGTATAGCAGGAACAGGAACAGCATCTTCGTCGACGATTCCCATGCCGGCGGTGGCTCACAAGACGATGGTAGCGACAAGCCTCCATCAGCTGCTGGTGTTGGCCGCAAGATGCTCAACCTCAATGCAGGCCTTGACGATGGATCCTTGGCCAAGAAGAAGAAGAACCCCAACCCCAAGAATCCCCATCCTCCTGCTGCTGTTGCTGTTGCTGCTGCAGGTGCCAATGCCAAGCAACAAAAGGATGGCATCATGGAGAATGCTGCACCTGCAGTGCCTGAACATGCTATTGCTACTCATGGAGCTTCCCAATCGGCTGATTTTGCTGCTGCTGCAACGCATGGGCATCCCAATCCTCCTGTGGTAACAACAGCAATACCCCCCATTAACAATGAGAAGAACCCCAACCCCAATAATCCCCATCCTCCTGCTGCTGTTGCTGATGCAGGTGCCAATGCCAAGCAACAAAAGGATGATGGCACCATGGAGAATGCTGCAGTGCCTGAACATGCTATCACTACTCATGGGGCTTCCCAATCGGCTGGTTTTGCTGCTGCAACGCATGGGCATCCCAATCCTCCTGTGGTAACAACAGCAACACCCCCCATTAACATTAACAATGAGAAGAAGAGGAAGATGAACAAGAAAAGGACGATGAAGACAGCTGGGCAGCACAGCTATGTCGGGAATCCCGTGGCACTTGTGCTGGACTTCGCCGAGGGAACTCCCCTGCCCTCCAGGGAGGACCTCCTCTCCACATTCAGCAGGTTTGGCTTTGTGATCGACTCCGAGACCACCATCAGCCAAGATAAGCACACCGCGCAAGTGGCGTTCGCCACCAGGGTTCAAGCAGAAACTGCCTTGAGCTGCGCCGCAACTCTTGGCGGTGCATTTGGACCTCCATTTGCAGTAGCAAGCCTCCAGGACCTCCCTCCCATCACGCTCAACACGCCTCCTCCGCCTCTTCCAAAGCTCCCTCTCACAGATATTAGGAACAATCTTGGGAAGATGATCTTGTCCTTGTCGTCTAAAGCCACAGCGGCACCTCAAGAAGCAAACGCAAAGACAGCCGTGGACAGTCTCAGTCTTGTGGGAGACATGCAACGTCTTCTTGCCAAGGTTGACAAGGTGCTGCAGGTGCAGGGTGCTTCTGCTACAGCTCATCACGCTTAGGCTCAGCTCAGAGAAGCCACCACCCTTTTGCTAGGTTCTGCTACTGACCCATGTTCCTTCTAGCTGCTGATCGTCAGTCTTTTGTAGCTCTAGCACGGATCCTCAAATCCCATTTCAGCAGCTTGTAATCCTAGTTTCTCACCGCGTGCAATTGTGTAAATGGTAATCTGCATGCATCGCTGCTCTATGTAGTGGTACTCTGTAACAGATTATGCTATATATGCAGCATCCTTTATCAGCCATCCTGTGTCAGGGTAATATCCCTTTGCTTCAAAATGTTGTGCTATTGTAGTTGATTAGCCAGAGCTGCAATCCTTGTATCGCACCTTTGACCTGGGAGCAACAATAATAACTGCAATTATGTCATAAGCTTACACCTTGCACTCCAAAATGAAAAGAATGATCGAAAAAAACATGATATTGTGTTTGCCATTGCCAACCTAATACCAGGCCGCCAGTGTAATTATCAAGCAATTGGATCCTTCATGTTGAATTTCCACCGAAGTACCCTTCTATCCCTGAGTTCTCTGCACCAGAGAATGATGCATGCTCAACAGAAATATCCGACTGAATCTGAACGGGCAAGGGTCTGGGGAGAGCATGAACTGACAGAGAAAATCCATCTGTATGCCGCCATTCATTCTCACCCTTGGCAGACCCAGAAAACAACCCCTGGAGAACACCTGAATGGATTCATTCTCATCCTTGGCTGACCCTGAAAAACACCACCTGGAGGACACCTGAATGGAATAAGCGAAACAGCAAAAAGCAAACAAACGACCATCTCCATTGCGATTGCTAGTCTTTACAAGATCAATACCAAAGGACAACAATTCACAAGCACACTTTTTAAGCACCCTCAATCGAACAGCCATAGAAATATTACTGATATGTTCTCTGGTTCTCCCGTGTACAAGTGGCATTAATCTAAATACAGAAACTATCTGCTACTTATTGCATTATTACAGGTATCCATCTTGCGCGGTTGTCCCGCTGTTCTGATACAGATGTTATTCAGAAATGTATGACAAACCCCCAGATGTACCAGAAATCCAGAATCTCTCTTAGATTGCTTCCCAGTTCTTGGCTGGTCTTGGTTTCACTTAGACGGCCACTGATTGTTCTTCGATCTCACTGTGTCCAGCATCACTTGCAGTAGCGCCATTAACAGGAACCTCTGTCACAGCATCCGATGCACTTGAAGCACCATTCACCTGCATCTCACCAGCTGCCTCAGAGGCATTGCTGAAGGGTTGCTTTGGAGGGGTCTTTGGTTGACGTATGGCAGCAGCTGCTTCTGGCATCACGACACCTGGAGGCTGAGGGGGCACCCAGCGGCGCTGAGGCGGCGGTCTTTCCTCAACCCCAGTGTTGTAGGTCAAAGGCCTAGGTTCATCTGCATGAAAATCAGGGGCCTTTCCATTCTGGTGATAGGAAGGAGCATAGCTGTCCTGGGCATCAGAGTATGATCCATCATCACTCAACTGGGAGTTGGATCCATAACCAGGCCTCTGTTGCGAATACTGCTGCATCTCCCATGGCTGCGATTTTTTAAGGGGAAAAAACACAAAGACGTGAAAGCCTGTCCAACTCAAAGACATCATTGTGTCAGAAATGCAACAGACAAGGGCTTCTTCTCACCTTACTGCCAGAAGACCTATCCCCTCGTTGTGCACTGGACATTGTCTGCTAAAAGCACACAGAAACAATCAGGGTAGTGGTTCAAGTTATAGTAGGCCACATGCTTTCAGTGAAAACTGATAAGTTCAATGAACAACAACAAAGCAGATGATGTTATGAATTACAGTAATAGATGTGTGAGTTGTCAATAACTCAAATATGTGAGATATTTATCAATAATGCAGGCTCATATATTTAGCATTTTAGCTAGGAGTTCCACAAGATTATAGAAATTGGTTACACCGTGGTAGAGCTGAACATCTTTCAACTGATCAATAAAAGAACACCATAGAACAAAATATGTTAACCATATGCACACATCACAAATACATATATTTGGAGATTGGGCAACATGTATATTGAGAAGATGTAATAAAATATATACTAAAAGGACTACCTTTGTCAAGAATATGAGCCTCTATATAGTTAGTTTGAAAAAGGAATGTTGTATCTTTTAAAGTTCAGCTATTATAATCTTATTAGTTAATGGTCAGTTTTTTCTCTCAGACATGCAGCCGGTCAATGTTCAAGAAGGCGCTAGGTGGTTTCTAGGCGACGACCCATGCCCTAGAGCCTAAGCGAGTCTAGGCTAGCCTAGGCGTTTCAAGGCGTTTTGCTAAATTTGCATTCAGCATGTATAGCTGAATAAATATATAAATGTAGTAGCTGAAATGCTGAATAAATAGAAGTTCCTACAGCAATAGAAGTGGTATCTTGTGAAAAAATAGAAGTTCTAGGGACTAGAATGTAAGAAATCAGTAAAGGAAATCATAGCAAGAAAATTTGCTGAAATTTTTACAAAGTGGAGGGGCAAGTCGCAAAATCGCTCTGTCTTATCCACATCTCATCTGCAGCCCGAGCAGTGCGTCTTCTTTCCCGTGACCTTCTTCTCCCTTCTTTCCCACGACCTCTCTCTCTCTCTCTCTCTCGGTGGAGGCCGGCTGCAGGCAGGCAGGCCGCAGGCTCAGCCTTCGTGCATTGCCGCAGCTTCGCCTCACGCGCTCCCCACGCCATCACGACCCAAGGCCTGCCTTTCCTTTCTGCTCCCTTCCCCTCTCCTTCAAACGGATGCGCATCTGACTGGATTGGGAGGAGGGAGGCCCGGAGGAAGCGGCCCGGCAATGGATCCGGCGGCGCAGCTCCCCCCCTCGGGCGGCGCGGCTCTGGATCTGGTGGCACGGCGCCTATTCTCCGCTTATCCCCCTAGGCGAGGCGTTACCCCTCCGCCCAGCGCTGAAGCGCGCCTGGGCGAGCGCCTAGTACCGCCTTTTTGAACATTGCAGCCGGTGCAGGAGAGCTTGACATCTTCATTAAAGAGAGAAAAAAGGACACAGCTGCATAACTAAGCACCCAAACCAATGCACGCAACACACACACCAGCAACACACTGCACTAAGATTATACACTATGCAAGACACTAGCAACACAACCAAGAACAAGAACAGGAAGGCCTCTAGAGTAGCTGGTGGAGGTGATGAGCACCCGCAGCACACCACAAGAGTTCCTCTTCTTCCACTGGCCACACTACAGCACTCACACAAGGAGTGACACTATTAAAAACACAATCATTCCAGTGTTTGCAGATCTGGTCAAATAATGTATGTATAAAAGCATACAGAAGCAATGGATTGTTATAGTGGATTTGCAAACAATTCCCTTTGGTACACAGCCATATCTAGCTGATTTGGGAAATTCGATATTTTCCGTAGCTGATCAACTCAGATGTAAGCTGTTCATAAGCATGAAAGAAGGCTGGCTGCCAGCAAATACTAGTTGTCCCAAAAGTTAGTTAAAGTGAATGTGCAATCTCAGAGACTCAGACTGCACCAAGTGAATCCAACTAACTTGACAGATGTATATTGATGTCAATTAGTTTTCCTTCTTTTCACTAGGTTGTTTATTTTCCCCACCTGGCGTGTGCCTGCTGGGTACAAAACTCAGGTCTTGTCAGTTGCAGGGTATGACAATATAAACCAGTCAAGCTCCTTACCTCGGCATAGGATCTTGAAAATGATCCAGCTGTAGGTTCAGCTGGTGCTGGCGCAAATGAAGACCTCGCTGCAAAACAAAGGCATGAGTAGGTAAAGCAACAAGAAAACACCAGACTCGGTATGGCAAACAAGGAAAAAGATATTCATGAAAGATACCAACCGGAACCAAAGTCACCGTTCGACGCACCGTACATGTTAGTTTGCTACAGAAGGGGAAGTGGTCAGAAATAGGATGATAATTGAAAGCATGAGCATGCTTGTGGAACAGGAATATGGGTGGACATTATAAGTGCACACCTGAGAAGCTCTCCATGAACTGTTAATTGCCCCTGAAATCACAACCAAACAAATGGTAATGTTGTGAGATTTGCATAGATGTTGGGTCAAAAATTTCTAATCTTTAAGCAGCACAAGGTGGGCCTCTTTTGATAACAGAGGTAAGCACTGAACCATGAAACGGCACATAAATTCTGGATACTGACCATTCCTTATAACAGGAGGAGCATGGTCTTCCAGTGGGCGGTACTGAGAAAACCTATCGTCCCTGGTAATGTTGATGGGTTCCCTGGTATGACTGATTGATTCGGTCAAGGATTTTAACTCCTTGGCTTGGGAATCTAGAGCTTGTGTTAACGTCACTAGTATCTTCTTTTCTGCAAACAAGAACAAAATGACATTATTGGAGTGAGTTGAACCATTGGCAAGGAAGAAGAAGCAAATCATGAACAGGTAGAGAGTGAAACCTTCATCCTTTGAAGCAAGCAGCTGTTGGTTTGTTTTGGCAATAGCAGAAACAGCCGAAGCAGAAGCCTTTACAGCCTCAGCCGTTTCCTCATCTATCCTGGTCTTAAGTTGGTTGCCTTCAGTGTCATCACCTTCCGCTACGACATTGCGTATCCAAGACTTGAGCCTAGGAAGGAAAAGTTTCTAACATGGAAATAAAGATGCCCCAGTTAGTGTGCTGGAAGGATTGCAAACATTCAGAGATAAGAAATACCTTGATAAAGACAGCAGCACTAGCACCAAAACCAAGCAATAGCCCTGCAGCGAGGAATGCTTGGTACCAGCTGAACCGGGGTTGCGTTCGAAGGACGACAGGGCCAGCGGTTGCTGGGTGCACAGGTTGTGCTGGCGCATAAGTTTGCACCCCAGCAGATTGGTTCTGGTTGCTGACTGTAAGCAATCAAACAGAGGGACAAGGCAAGCTTGTAAGTGAAATCAACATGATAAGATGAGACAGACAAGAGATGATTTAGTTGAGTTACCCTGCTGCTGTGGAGAAGTGGTAGCCGCAGTGCTGGGTTGAGGATCCTGCAAGCCAAGCAGCAGACAGAGAGGCGGCGTAACGTAAGCCAATAAGGCACGGGCATGGATGGAGACGGTGATGGAAGGGAAGGAGGATGTATCTTCATCTTACAGGAACTCTTCGGAAGGCCTCGTCGATCTCCTCGGTGGTGAGGCCCTTCTTCTCGAGGAAGGATCGCCTGTAGACGACGGGGGAGCCCCTGACCTTTGGGTGGGAGAGGAACTTGACGGCGTTCTGGACGTAGTCCTCCCTCACGGGCTGCGGCGGCGCCTCGAAGACGAGCTTATCGCCGCCGGCTCCCGGGTCAGCATCTGCCGCCGCCGCTGCTAGGGCAAGGAAAAATTGATTCTCCCTCCTCGAATCTAACTGCTGAATCTACCTAATTCTAGTTTTGTCGGTCTAAAAATTGGAATCTAATCGATCAGCAAGAGGAGGAGGACGGGGAAGGTACCTGGGGGTTGCAGCTGGCCGGAGCCGGTGCCGGAGGCCATGGCCTCGCCCTAGTCGCCTCTCCGCTCACGGTCACGGGAGTCGTCGGGAACGGAACAAAACGGGACGGAACGGAAGGTGTCGTTTTGCTTTTGTGCTGGACCTCAATCATTTCATCTCATCGGCAGCAGGAGCTGGCTGCGCTGCCCATTCCAGTTCAGTTCCAAATAGAAATAGAGAGTTTTACCTGCCTGCCGTTAAAAAAGACGGCATTTTCCTGCATACCGTTAAAAGATTTTCCTGACATACACATATGATTCGGACACTTTTTTTTTCTTCCAAGCCATTCCATCCACTCTCACCGGTAACAGTGTCAATCTGTGTTGAAAAAAGTGCCAGATGCCCTCGGGGGGGTGCTATGCCAAAGTGCAGGCACGAGCTCCATGTTCGGCTGTCGGGGAGACGCCGGTGCAAGCTCCATCTCCGCGATTCCCCACCTGCGTGTGCTCGGGAGCCTCCGCCCCCACATCCTCCAACAGCCGCGGGTGCAAGCGAGCGCCGCCCCTGCCACGAACGAGCTCCACGCTGGCCGGCTCGGCCTCACACCACTTGATTGGCTGCAGCGTCCTCCATGAACCGTGGGTGAGCGCGCGCTCTTTCCAGCTGCTGCAACAGGCGGTGGGTGCAGGAGCGCGCGCCAGTGGCGACGCCCGCCTGCGGCCTTGGCGGTAAGGAAAAAGGCCTGCAAGAGCGGCTTGAGCAGGACCTCATCTTGGCGTTGGTGTCCAGCTCCAAGTCGGCATGGGAAGCGCGGTTGAGGAAGCTCTTGAGGTTCGAGCCAGGGCTAAAGGGGCTGCGGAGGTGGTGGGTGGGCAGCCTTGCCAGGGTCCAGATGGTCTTGGCGAGGCGTCTGGCCGGCAAGATCTGATATTACAAGGCCACAGCATCATCCGATGTAGCTTGGTAGTCGGGTGCAGCGCTGTTCTTCTCTGTTCTAGCTTCTAGGCGGCGGCATGGCACATCTTTGAGGTCATGGCGACAACACCGGACTCATCTATCCGCCCAGCTCGAGTAAAAAGGCGCGCACTTGTCTCGGCGGCGACTACAAGCAAGCAAGGTCGAGTGCATCTCTTCCTATGCAAACAAGCAAGCAAGGAGCTGCAGCTGCGGCAGGCACATCGTCGTCAGTCAAAAAAAGGAAAACATGGCGGTGGTAGGCCACAGCACGGCCGGGCGCAGAGCCATGCGGTGTGGGCAAGAAGGCGTGCAGCTGAACTCCCATTGCGTGTGGCTCCTCGTCTCCATCCACCCTGCAGAGGTGTGCAAACAGAGCAAAGAATGGCGATGCAAACGCTCCACCTCGATGTTGTATGTGCTCACGGGAAGTGGCTCACGGGGCCTTTCAACCTCACCACCACTTCACCCTCTTCCTCCACAAATGACGCCATCATCCTCGCCTCCGAGCTACGTGCAGGCAGCATCCAGCTCCGGTGACAGATTGAGGAGGAAGAAGGTGCCCGAGTCACTTACAGCTTGGCCCCACTGGGAAGAGAAAACGAGGTGAAAGGACAGGGTTGAGAGAAGGGTATTTTGGACATCATCACCGGCCGGGCACACATGTCAGGGCTGTCAAACGGTAAAAATCTAACAGAAGATGAATGGAATGGCTTAGAAGAAAAAAAAGTAAAGTGTCATGGCACCTGGGTACGTCCAAACTTTTTAGAAGCCCGTGTAGAAAAGGGCAACTTTTTAGAAGCCTGTAGAAAAGGGCTATCTTTTTTAATGGTACACAGATAAAACTCTCGTAGAAATAGGGGAGTCCAAAATGGAAACGCAAACATTTGTCGTCCTTCTTCCGAATTTTTTTTCTCATTTTCAAAAAGTCATAAAATTACTAACATTTAGGGTAGTCATAAAAAATATATTCTAATAAATAAATCTATTCGTTTTTCAAGGCTTAGTTAAACTTGAGATTTTTTGACTTGGTTAAAATATTTAAGAACGGAGGAAGTACCTGGGAGTACTCTACTAGATCTCACTTTACGAGTGAAACATAAGCACCTTTGCTACGTCGCCATTGTGCACATAAGCTTTGGCGCCAAAATTTCTTCTAGTAACACTTTGAGCAACATGACATGGTCGAATAATTTCTAGTCCAAAGGTGATTAATGGGAGGAGGCACATTGACACACTTTTTATTACGTGGAATATTTAGAAAAAAAACTAATCAACAGATCTTCCAAATTTCTAGCTTTTACAGGCTAAGGGAGAGGGTACTGAACAAAAAGAACTCGACTCTCTTGCCTTTGTATAGCAACAGTCAATGACTTTGTTCTTAACTAAATAAACAGATGTCTTTGTATTACAATAAATTGTCAATTTCATCGTAATTAAATAGATAGAGCTCCGGTCCTTATTACGTTAAAAAAATGACATTTCAATTTTATTTATTTATTTATTAATCATGAAATATATTTTTATAATAAATCTAATTGAAGATCTAAATAGAGATGATATCTTCTATAAACTTAGACAAATTTAAGATTCTTTGACTTCTCGTAAAATCAGATTTATTTTTTTGGGACAGAGGTAGTATAATAAATAAATAAATAAAACTGAAATGTGAGGCATCACTGCACCTTTCACGTTAGTTAACACTAGGAAATTGTTCGTGGCTGGCTGGCTCCTGGCTGCGTGCCTGCGTGGCTCTTCCGAATCCGGAATCCCGCACCTGTGACTGTGATCTGCCGCTGCAGCGAAGGGAGGCTCACAGTCACAGGCTGTGGCAGTAGTGTCCTTCTCCCTCTCCGGTGTCCGGGTCCGGCTCTCCCTGCCCTGTCCTGTCCCTCCCACTCCCAGTTCCAGCGGAGCGGAGAGGAGGAGACCCTGTGGGTGGGTGTGGGCCTTCTCCCCTCCCTCCAGACTCTAGTGTAGCGCAGTGCAGTAGGGTTTCGCGTTCCTCCGCACCCATCCTTCCCCGCATCCCGCATCCTCCATGGCCGATCCCGACGAGCTCGGCCGCCGCCTCGCCGCGGTCGCCGTCTCCGAGTCTCCTACCGCCGCCGCGGCTGCGCTGGAGAGCAGCAACAACAACCTCTTCCAGGTGATGCGCGCCGTCGAGGATGCGGAGGCCACCATCCGCCAGCAGGTAATCACTCTCTTCCTGCCTCTTGTCAAGACATAGAATCAGCTCCAATTAGAACAAGAGCGACTCTCTCATCACGCCGAGCTCGTCTCTTGTATCTCTCTTCAGCTGGAGGAGAACAGCCGGTTGAAGGACGAGCTGATGCTCAAGACGCAGGAGCTCCACAGAATTGTAAGCCCATTCCATTTCCACGCCCCTTCCCGATCCAAATCCCCTCCCCTCCACCTTCCCACTCTGGCAGTCAATCATATATATGTCTATGCTGCATTGCTGCCTGCGCAAACGACCATACTCTAACTTGTGCAGTGCAGCACATCATTTTTCTTTATCATGCCATTTCATTTGCCTAATAACTACTGGGCATTTCGTCTCTGCCCAAACCAGAGGTCAGAAGCCACAAACCAAGCTTCTTCTCGTGGGGTCCATCAGGATTGCGCTCTCGCCGCCCACACAGACACCTCCTCCACTGCCCCCATTGGGACTAGCGCCACAGCAGCAGAGGCCTTCAAATGGGGAGCTGGGGAGCCCATGTTGCAGGATGCCTCCATCAAGCACAAGTACCTCGAGGCCACCCAGGCTAATGGAATTCCCCCTAAATCATCAGGGGACCAGAGCGCTCCGGATAGTGCGTTCCCATCTCAGCTATCTACCCCGTCTTCTCGTTCCCTCTCACCAACTAGGTAGGTAGTAGTACATTCCAAATCCAGCCTCTCTTAATATCATACTATCCTGTTTGGTTACCTTCACCAAGCCTTTCCTTGCAGGCACCGCAAAGAACCAGACTATGATTCTAGGCTCAACTTATCCGGACAAGGCGCACTGCCTGTTTCAGACCTCAACTCAAATGTTGTCATCTGGAAGCAGGTATCAACTGTTTACTTTGTCTGTTGGTTGCCATACTTTTGATTGATTGATTGATTCACTCTTCTTGCTGAGCTGCCTATTTCCTTCCAAAGGATCTCCTTGTTAAGGTTAAAGAACAAGAGGAGGAGATTGCACAACTGAGAAGGCATCTCTCTGACTACTCTGTCAAGGTGGCCGTGCACACTAACAATCTTTTTCCTCAAATGTTCTTTCTTCAATCTTTAGTATTTCACTCCTATGTCTTTTCACAGGAGGCCCAAATACTTAATGAGAAACATGTCCTGGAAAAACGCATTGCATATATGCGCATGGTAAACGTTTTATTTATGACGCATCAACTACCACCTTGGAGTTTGTTAAAAAAAACTCCTTGGAGTGCATGAGACTATGATTTAACTGTTTTCCCCCCTTTTTCGTGGGGCAGGCGTTTGATCAGCAGCAGCAAGATCTGGTTGATGCTGCATCGAAAGCTTTGTCTTACAGACAGGATATTATTGAAGAAAACATCCGTCTTACATATGCATTGCAGGTAACGTTTTCCTGACAGCCATTAGCATATTCTTTCCTCATTTGCTTGCTTTTATTACATACCCCCAAGATACACTTGTGATTAATTCATTTTTCATTGAATTTGCTTTTTATATACCTTTAGTTTCCATAATAAGCTGCAGCGTTCATACTACTCAATGAATATCCCTTCTTATTTACAAATCAACCTAATTCTGTGCACACGTGTTAAAAGAACTGATTTCTAGTTAATTCACTTCATTATTTTGTGAGAATCTTAAAACTCGACCTGCGGGGGTAAGACAGCCCCAGAGCATTTCGTTAAGAGAAGACATTCTCACGCAGGCTGAGAAACACCCTGAACCCCGGCCCTACCCATACACAGCGGCACCATAGCCCATGTGAAAATGATCATGACCGGGGCCAGACCTTAGACCTGTGCTTCGGTGTGGAACAAACGAGGGGATCTTTTTAACCCAGTATGAAATTCGCTTCCACGGGGAGTTGAACCCAGGACTTGAGGAGTGCTACTCAAGCCACCTAACAAACTCAGCTAGAGGCCCTTTTGCATTTTGTGAGATTCTTATTTATTCTATTCAGATAAACTCGGTGTGTATGCTGCAATTAGTTTTTGTTATTTTCTTCAAACCTTATTGTCTGGGTTTGGTGAAGTAAAATGAAGAATGCTGAGTCTACTTTGTTCCATAGGCAGCGCATCAAGAGAGATCAACATTTGTATCTTCTTTATTGCCTCTTCTATCGGAATATAACCTTCAGCCTCCTGTTCTTGACGCTCAGTCCATTGTTAGCAATCTGAAGGTATGTGCTGCTGTGATTGGTTGCTTGTTTGGCATTGATTAAATGCCCCCTTTTCTATTAAGTGAGCTTGCCCATGGTGAACTGGGGACCTTGTATATTGTTGTACATGGTAAAATTTACTTTGCTTATTGGGATATGCCATACATGCCGAGAGGAAGCTAAACTACCTTCTTAGTGATGCTTATGCCACATTTACAGGGAGTGCTGAACTATACTATCTTCTAAGATATTTTAGATATATAGTATCATTGCTACAGAAGACATATTATTATAATAGTTTCAAAACAATCAAGTGACAGAAGTAAAAAATTCCCTTGATTATTTTTATTTCTTGCTTGGTTGACCTTTCATTTTTCATCGTGTAGGTTCTGTTTAAGCATTTGCAAGAAAAGCTTATTATTACTGAGGTGAGTCACATTCGTCCTTGTTAATGTGTATTTTGTGAAAGAAGAGCTAGTACAAACCTGCTGCCTGGACATTGGTGAGCTTGTTATGCTTGCCAAGCATTGAAAAAGTTGGATGTTGCAGGAGAAGCTGAAGGAATCACAATACCAGATTACTCCTTGGCGTGCCGAATCTTCAAATAATACAAGTGCTGCTGCACAGTCGCCTTCTCATACTCCTGGAAATGCATTGGTTTGTTCGATATGGCACTATGCTTGCTTTTCATCATATATTTCTTGGAATGCATGCATGATTGTAGATTCTAACGTCCATCACATTTCTCAGAGCAAAGCCAACCTTGACATTGTGCCCCAGCAAGCATATTCTTATGTACAGTCTCCAGCTTCTTCTCCTGTTCGAGCTAGGCGTGACTGGGATTTGTTAGGGAATGAAAATTGTCAGGTCATTCGAAGTGAGGTTGCCACAACAAGTGCAGAGCATGATAATGTTGGAAGGACCTCTCCTTCAACCAGGTTGCTGGTGGTTACTTTAAAAATTCAATGGGATATGTTTTTAGCTATTCTTTGCCGTTTCACAATTACAGTTATTTCACTATGTACTTTCCATTTTTGCCGCATGATGAAAATCTTAATAACTTTTCAACAGTATTTTGAAACCATTTCTCCAATTATGATTGTTCTAGCATTATCTAGCACTCTATTACCATTTTATTTTGTTACTATCATTTACTTTCTTGCTCTTTGTTACACGTGACCCTTGTTGGTTTGTGAACTGAAGGCCTTGTTGTTGCATTACTGGTCAGCCTTTTGAAAGTTTTTTTTTCTACAGCACAGATTTTATTATGTCAAACAAAATAAGAATGTGGGTGCAAACTAGTTATTTAGAAAATTAATGTGCTGCTTTTAAAGTGTTGATAAGTGTAAAAGTGAAGGCAGAGTTATCGTAGTGGAAAAGTGAATAGGCCTTGGAGTTTGCTTAAGCCCCATATTTACAAAGAAGCAAAATATTCTTGTTATTGAAATAACTATGGTAATGACCTACCGTTCAAAAGGTTTTTATACCAATGTGTCAACCTCCCCCTGTCCTTCTTTTTTTTTCCCCCTTCTGAGCTGTTTTCCTTCTTATGAGTGTGGCAGTGTACTTTCAAACAGGAACATGAAGAATGAAATTTGGTTGTTTCTCACTGGCTTCTAACGTTCTGCAGCAACCATAACATGAAGGATGTCCCTCAAGGAACTGGCCATGATTCCCGTGCTGTTCGATTTAACATTGAATCCAAGGATCAAAACCCATCATTCAGGGACCTTGTTAGGAGTGATGCCTCGGAAAATCTGGAGGGAGCTGAATCCCAAGTTCCACAAGAAACTTCTGCACAGTGGGATTCTGGAGGCTCACCTAATTTGGCATCTGGTCTTGATGATGCAAATCCACCATACCCTTATCTTCCTACTGTCCTTGAGGAGCCTAGTTCTTCTTTTTCTGAAGGTGTTGCATCTTTAAATCCATGCATTTGCCTACTATATTACCTCAGCTAAGATGGTGAACAGCATTTTTATGAATGGGCAGTTGCAGAGGATGATCCGCTGCCAGCCATAGATGGGCTGCGAATCACAGGTGAAGCCTTTCCTGGAAGAGAACTTCAAGCAAGTGGGTACTCCATCCATGGAACCACAAGCTGTAATTTTGAGGTGTGCACTATTGCCTTTGTTATCCACGCAGCTTAAATATTCCACTAAATTCTTCTGTATTCATGAACCTTTTCAGTTTTGTGTTTTCATTATAATCTGCATTTTTTGCAAATTCTTTTTGTACTCACAGTGGGTGCGCCATTTGGACGATGGATCAGTAAATTTCATAGAAGGTACCTTTTCTTGTAATGCAAGAAAAAAAAACACAATGCCTTGTGGCATTTTTGTTTTGTTTTGGATATACCATTGAAGCTTTGGAACTCACATTTTCTGTTTGCTGCAGGTGCACGGCAGCCCACCTATTTAGTAACTGCTGATGATGTGGACTCTGTACTAGCAATTGAAGTCCAGCCTCTGGATGACAGAAAAAGAAAGGTATATCTTCACATCAAGTGCTGGCCATTCTTAAATGGCATTATATTCTTTCTTAATTTTTCTTGGATTCGATAGTCGATAGCTTGGTCAGTTTTTTGCGTACTTGTATATTAGATTAGATGGTGGGCACCTGTTTGTTGTGTTATTATAGGCCTCACACTAGTGACTTCTACCGCATAGTGTATGCTGAGAAGCAAATGGCTAAAAGTACTGCCCATTTGTCGATTTTTGAGAACCTGAGAGGCAGTTTTTTTATCTTGTTGAAATTGCAATAACAGGAAAATGGCAAGGGCTGTTTGAATTTATGTTGTATGTTATTTTTTTGTTAGATTAAAAAATTGTTAAAGGATAAAAGTGAGCTAACTCTATTGTTTGGGAAAAACATATACAGATGTGGTTTAGGTTAGAATTCATACCACGGCTCATTAGTTATATGCTGGTAGGGTGCTAACACATAGTTCATGGTTTGAAAACTTTACATTAGACGGTTATTACTGAGTTGGATGATGGAACGTCTTGATTTATCTAAAAAAATTTCTCTTGTTGTAGGGGGAGATTGTGAAGGTTTATGCTAATGATCAAAGAAAAATTACATGTGGTGAGTTTTCTAAGAGCGTTTGTTCTTTAAGTAGTGGACACAATCTTTTTCTTTTATTTTCTTTCACTTGCACCTTGTATGTTTTAAAAAATGATTGGGTATCTGAGCTCCATTTCTTCTTGAGCTGTCAGTATGAGAGAAGAATCATGTCATGGTGTAGAAGGGTTTCTTTTGGCTTATTAGATATGTCTCAGTATCTGAGCAACTCTTATTTGTGCAGATCCTGAAACCAAGGAACATATTAAGAAAATTCTCTCTATGGGACATGTGTCTTATGAAGTTCTATTACCTGTATGTCCTCTATTCTTCTCAAATGGTCTTCCAAGAGCACTCTCTACACCTTTCCATTGTCATATAACCCTGTGAACATCAAACTATTCTGCAGGTTAGATTTTTAGATATGTGGGAACCAGCTGTCTTGGCAATAAAGAGGGAAGGTTACAGTGTTAAGTGTAATGGACAGCGTGGTGTCGTCGTTACAGAGAAATTCCAGCAAGCGATGACAGTATGGTTTCCAAAATCATTGTCCTTAAAATCGCTCTGTTTGTGTGATGCTTCATCTTTTTTTTTTTGAAAAAATGTCTTGGGATTTGCAACCATCTTTTTTTTCAGTGGTCTCAATGTTCAGAGCATTTGGAACTCTGAATAACCAATGTGTATGAATATATGGTCCTGTGTTTCGTATTTATTTATGTGATAAAAATGTTTGTTTTCTTTGTAGCCTCAAGTTTTATAAATTTTATCTTGTTTGCTATTTTATACTTGGTCATATAGAATTGCGTGAAACTTAAACTATGGAAAAAAAATATCGCCGTTTGGTTGTTTTCATGTGTATCCCTGAAATGAAGCCGTGCCGTTAGCACGGGCACTATACTAGTATAAATTAGTTGCATGAAATTGTACCAGATATGTCATCTCAATCTTCCATCATGGTGAACTTAGTATGTTTAGCAATATCTTATACTGAAAAGGTGGCTGTAGGTGCATCCCTCTTTGTAGAGAAATGTAAGGTTCATCTTGGAGACCACACACAGAAGTTACATTTTGTTGTGAAAGGAAATAGTATTAGTTAGTTTTTCTTTATGCTTTCAGTATTTCAGGTTCTGGGTTCTCCAGGGTTTCATTCCTTTTTTTGTATGTATAGTGATCTAGAACTTATCTTGTACAATCTTTGCAGATCAATATCCCATTTGGGCGTCCTACTGAGTTCTCAATTGTGTCTGCTGATGGTGCTGAGTACAATTTAAAGCCTGCAGAAAATGCCCCGTGAGTTTCATGCTAACCACTGACTATTTGTTGTGGTAGTAGTATATTGCAATTGTCTTTTGAAGTTTTGATGCGTCAAGTTACAACTGAAAGCATGTCAGAATCCATTCGTGTGGCTTCCCCTGATCTCTAGTTTTTCCACAACTCGAATCCAGCTACAGTGTGCTCCTAGTAGTCAATTGCTTCTGTGCTTGGTTGACTGCAAGACATCTGTTATTATTGTTATGCTTGCATTTGTGGCAGTTATTTTAGAGTGATGGCCTAGGCCATAAAAATGGCAGAACACAGAGATGCTTACTGTTTTTTTTTTTATATAAAAAAAATCCAGATCACGAGATGCCATTGTTCTAATACTAAGGCTATTCAGAATGAAGGTACAGTTGCATTTCTCACTGATTTTTTAGGCTTAGATGTTTATTTGTAATGCGTCGATGATGAGTCAGGAATTTCTGTGATTGCAGGCTGTTGAGAAGAGTAAGGGAAGAAGAAAGGGCATCTTCTTCAAGTAGTTTGTAGTAGTATTAGGTAGTGGCATGGCGGGTTGACTGTATCTATTACCTATGTTTTTGCGGTTCATGTATGTAGAAGGAAAGAGTGAGTTGTCTCCATGCTTCTGTGTGCTAGTATCTGTAAAGTTCCGATTCAATTCGATTAGATTCAATTGGTACTGTACCCAGTTTTTTTAATTGTTTGTTTGTTTTCCTGTAAAGAGGGATGAATTCATTTTTCAATCTTATGTATGCATCCCGTTTCATTGGCCTGACGTAACTTACTGCCTCCTTGCAGCTGGAAGGATAAAGCTGTCCAAGAGGGGTGAATTGGGCTAATTTTAAAATGTTTTGTAATAATTAAACTCTACACTTAGCTTATTTCACCCCTTGTGTTTAGAAAGTGTTTTTAATATTCTACCGCATAAAAATTTGATGTAAAGACAAGAATTGAATTGTCCAAAGTAAATGCTTAAAGTAAAGAGACAAGGAGGAACGTGATGATGTTTTGCCGAGGTATCGAAGAGTCGTCACTTCCCACTAGTCCTCGTTGGAGCACCCGCGCAAGGGTGTAGCTCCTGTTGATCCGTGTAAGGAACAAGTGCTCTACGGGTTGATTCTTCGACACTCCATCGCGGTGAATCATCCATAATCGCTTACAACTTGAGTTGGGTCATCCATAAGCTCCACTGGATGATCACCAAACTTTCAATCACCACCGAGCCGTCTAGTTGATGGCGATTACCAAGAGAAACAAGTAAGAACTCTCACTTGATCACAATAAGCCTAATGAGAAGGGTGGATACACAATTGTTACTCTATTTTCACTAATGAGGCCTCTCTCTTTGATTATTAAATCTCAATCACCTTACTAAGATTTTACTCTCCTTGGTATTCTCAATGGTGTTTCTTAGCTGTTGAAATGGACAAAAGTGATCCCTTTAGTGAATAGAGGAAGTATTTATAACCCCTCATTCAAAACGAACCGTTATGTGTCTCTGCGGGGTGACCGGACGCTCCGGTCAGTTCTCCCCGCAACCAAGCAGTTAAGTTGTGACCGGACACTGACCAACGTCCGGTCATAAAAATTACTATCTAGAACCTTACTTATGTTGACCGGACTCTGCCACATAGCGTTCGGTCACTTTACTGCTCAGCATCAGGTCAGTAACCGGAACGTGACCAGCGTCCGGTCAGCACTGACTGGACGCGTCCGATCAGAATTCTCCCTCTCTGGAACCTTACTGGAGTTGACCGGACTCTGGCACCCAGCGTCCGGTCACATTTCACTCAGCGTCTGATCACATCCAGATGACTTCACCTTGATCAAATGAACTGACCGGACTCTGCGCCATCGTCCGGTCAACATTTGATTCTCCATTCACTTCCAACTCGCAATCATATATGAATGAAGTTTGCTCCAATTGATCTTAGGGCTATTTAGAAGCTATCTAGTGCTAGATTTGACAAGTGTGCACCACACCTAACCCACTAGACTCACCTAGGTCAAGCTACCCGTCCATACCCCCTTAATAGTACGGCCAAAGGAAAAACAAAGTTCTAAATTATTCTAAGTGTCTCTTCAACACCAAACGACACTTAGAACTAGTTCATCCTTAACCTTATCGTCCATCATTTGAAAACCGAAACGATTTCCATCGTAGGGGCATGACAAACATGATTGCCCAATCAATTGTCATTACCATGACCTAACTTAATTGCCTCTATAAAACACACATTAGTCACAGTAATCTCGTATTATCAATAATCACCGAAACCCAACTAGGCGCCTAGATGCTTTCAATCTTCCCCTTTTTAATAATTGATGACAATACAACCTCGAGTATGTAAAAGAGATGAGGTTTTCAACATGCTTGGTTCATATAAGCTTTTGACAATAAGAACAAAAGAGTTAGACAAGCTTATATGACCCAAGCCAACATGATGTACTCAATAGATATGAAATAAGCATGAGTACAAGAAGTAAAGCTCATTTGCATCAGAGTAAAATACGGAAGCAAAGTAAAAGAGCATAACCAAGTGACATGTCATATATAAAGATCAAAGTAGAGAACACATATGTCACATATCACATAAATATTACAATCACATAAATATCACGATCACATTAATATCACACGTACGTAGTTCAATGCATGAAGGTAAACATGAATGCATAATAGAGTATCACACATAAAAAAACCAAATATAATAGATAAGCTCCCCCTAAATATATCGTTCCCCCTAAGTCTATCATACTCGATCCCTCTCCCCCTTTGGCGTCAAACACCAAAACCTAAGGGTCGGTCGGCGGGGCTAGAGCAGATGAGTCGAGCGCTGAAGTGCGGTGAGCGATCTGGAATTGGGCAGCATCATCATCTGATCCTGAGCTCTGAGCTGTATGACCCTCTGTCGCTGGAAGTGACGCTGAAGCGGTCTGGGTCAGATCTAGGACTGGTGCGGCCTGTGACTCTGCAGGTATCACTGAAGCGGGCGGCTCTGATGATGCAACTGATGAAGGGAGCGTCTCTGTAACCCCAGTAATAGGAGCAACTATGGAAGGACCAAGGATATATAGATCTGGCGGTGTAGGCTGCCCTATCAACTCGCTAAAGGTAGCACCAAGGCTCCTAGAGACTGGGGTGTCTGTCACAAGCAGCGACGAACTCTGAGCCGGTGTGAAGCCTGTATGAAGAGGTGTGAACTGCGGACCCTAGGCTATCACTGGCGAAGCAAACCACTAGGACACCTGCTCTGTCGGTGAAGGAAATTATGTCGCTGGCTGTCCCTGACTCTGAAGCCCACTGGGCTGTATAAATGGAGTCTGTGAAGTGGTGGCAGGCTGGCCGAGCTAAGGTGTAAGCTGTGGCGGTGGAGCCCCAATAGCAGTAACAACATGCTGCATGAAACCAAGTAACTGCTGCTGCATGAGGAGTTGCTGCTGCTGCATGGCCTGCTGCTGCTGTCGCTGGAACTCGTCCTGTCTAGCCTGAACCTGTGCTAGAGCAGCTGCTGTCTTCTAGGCCTGGTGAGCCTGATCCTGCCTCATCCGCTCAAGAATAGCAAGGAGAGCGGGGTCTGTCTACGGTGCCTGTGGAGCTGTGCTGGAACCACTGGCCTCACCGTCATGTCGTCGAGGAGGCATCCGAGGGATATCCTGATAATCATCATCTGTACTATCGCTGGGGTCGCTCTCGACCATACCCTTCTATTGAGCATCTAGCTGCTCCTCCTCTGTCGCTGCAATACCCCTGATAGTCTCATTCTGTTGGGCTGTAGACTCTGGCACCTCTAGGCGATGGCTCGGCTAGCTAGGTGTCCTCACTGCACTGTGGTGGAGCATCTGAGTCGTGTTATAAGCTGGAAACTCTATAGTAGCTCCTGAATACTCTACCAACATCTCAGGAGACCTCATTGTGACCACCCTGTGAGTCAGAAAAGTGATCCAGTGAGCATACGACAGCTGCCTGTGACCTCTGAATCCCTCTACAAGTGTATCCTCCATCTCAGAAAGAATGATATCCCATACATCAAACACTGTCTGCTGCATCAGAGCGTTCAATAGCCACAACTGAATGCGAGTCAATCCCTCGTGATATCCCATCCTCGGTAGCAGGGTCCTCCTCATGATAGCATCTAGCAGTCTGGCTATAGGAGTAAGATCCCTAGGTGTTCTGCTCGACCCCTCGCCGAATGGCTCTGTGAAGCAAGGTCAGATGAGATCTGTGGGAGGCACAAGACCACCGTGAGGGCATCTAGGAGGCTCTGTGTGTCCATAGCAAACCTCGTGAATGTGGATGGGTGACTCCTGTAACCTGAGTATCTCTCTGACCCTGAAGCTCATTAGCCTGTAGTCACGGCCTTGGAATGCAAAGTGAATAAATCTGTGCCCCGGGTCAATCCAAAGTGTAGCATAGAACTCACGGACCCATGATAATACATATATGCCTGTCCGTCTAAGTAAATCTATCAGCCCTGACAAGTAAGAGAGATGAGGGCGGATCTGCTCTCCAGCTGCTGCTATAATAGCCTCAATGGAACATACTCTCTGAGATCTAAAAGTCACACCACTGTTTAGATATGCATTATAGAAGTCCTCCTACAGTGGTGTATAACAACCCTTTGAAGCACGCTCATCTCTCCTCGGTGGGAACCAATCCTCAAACTACACGAACCTGAGCTGCTGCACCTGCTTGGCCGTGGCGGCCCTCAAGTCCAGGTGAGTCACTGGAGGAGGACCCCATGGTCTAGGAGGCGGATGAGAACCCCTCCTCTGTGTCTCTGGCCTCGGTGTTACCTGGGTACGAGTACGACCAGAGCGGCGTAACTGTGGCTGAGATGCCTGCTCTATCTCCTCGGTCTGCTCTGCCTCCTGTGTCTGCTCTGTCTGCTGCTGTGGCTCCCCCTGAGGCTAAGTATCCTCTATAGCAACACGCCGTCCCTCAAGCATGACAGTCCCAGCTGGACTACCATGACGACGCTCAACCTGCTCAATGACTGCCCTCTGTACTGGTGAGAGCTGATCTGCAATCTGGACTCTACTCCGAGCACCTCCTCTCTCTACACGCTATGTGGTGGCTGCCACTGCTGTTGCTCCCGTTGTATCAGCATCTGCATACTTCCGCTTCTTCGACGTGATCTTCGTCATCGTCTTGCCTTTCACATCAGCAGGCAAGCGATGCGGAGGCCTCGGATCCTCATCACCTAGACCACCTCCAGTGTTCTTGACACGAGCCATTGCTGAAGCTGAAACAAACTGAATCACAGACAAGAACCAACTATCACAGACATTTTCGAGACTTGGCCTCGATCCGTACTCGCGAGCTTGGCCCCGAGTTGACTGACAACTACCAAAGTGACCTCAGAAACACCGACTCGCTACACGATAGAATAGATCGGATATATGAATAATTTCAATATACATCTAGAGATACGAAACCCTAAAAAGCAAGCAATAGATACGAAATTAGAAGCAAGGGCTTGCTACCTGACGAACCGGCGATCCGAAGAGCAGAGGAACG